CTTGGTGATGGGTTATATGGGAATAATAATGAGAAAGGACTAAAGAGAAAAGCCAGGTTTGAAGCATGAACAGTTATGGGTGGTGAGGATGGGAAGTATTGAAATGGAGAGGCAGCAGCATGGGGACAGTGACATGCCACCAAGGGTTGAGCTTCAATTTTGTCATGTATGTCTGGGTTTGATGATTCCTGCACACTGTTATCTAAGTCCACTTTTGCAAGCCTCCGAGTGTTGAGCTTTAGTGTCTTCATGTATGTGATAGGTTTATGATGATTCCTGCACCCTATTGTCTAAGTCTACTTTTATATATCTTTTCTCTCTTTTACAGGTGGAGCATGTTACTCCTGGGGCTGGAATGAGCATGGCATGTGTGGTGATGGCAGTGAAGTCAATGTCTTAACCCCAAAGCCTGTGCAGGTTCTGCCGTCAGCAGCAGGACTCCTTGTGGGCTGTGGGTCTGGCCACTCCCTGGCCCTCTGTCAGCTACCAGCACACAGTACACTGGGCCAGGACTACAAAGTCACCCACGTTTCCCCAGATGCCACTGAGGACACCAACTCTCAGGAAGCTGTGGACCAAGAGGGCAGCTGCAAGGAAAGACAATCAGGATCTCCCCCCCAAAGCCAACCAGACAGGTCCAGAAATGGGGGGCTGTGACAGAGACCTTTAATAAAGGACCTTTTCCCATCCAAAGTTTTGCCAGAGAATCGCAAAAATGCTTGAAAAGGGAACAAAAAGCCCAAATGGTTGGGGTTTCTACAAACCAAAACACTAATAGGCTGCTTGCATAAGGTCCAGGCCCAAGGAAAAACAAAAACAAAAAACATTTTTCTATTCAATGGATGTGAATGAGGGGCTAGATCTTCACCAAAGAAAAAAAAATGTGGAAAGCTAAGACTAGAGTGAAGAAGCCTTTTGCTTTCTGGGGGAAACAGAAAACCACTCCTAGCCCATGGTGGTTCTGGTCTGATAGCCTTTGACTCAGCAACTCAGAGGGCCCTAGGCCACTCAGAGCAGCCATGCATCTCTGGGCCCATAGCTTATAATTTCCTGTTTTAAGATACTGAGCTTTGGAAAGGAAAATATTCTTGTCTTTAATGACTAGGCTCAAGGGAGAAGACTGTGGAGCTGAGAAGTATGAGGGGGGGTGGTGAGAATTAATTGGGGAAAATGGATAAGACTTCAGAAAGACACATCAGAGGAGATTCTAGCATAGACAAAAGAGTCTAGAACCAATGAAACTGTCAGATGATTTATGTCTTCTGGCAACCAGACAAGACTCTGGAGCTACCTGTACGACTATGATTGTTGAAGTCTATGATGGCTTGGCTCCAGTGGCTTTAGGAAATTGCATAATCCCAGGACTTCAAAGCTGAAGAACTCCTAATCACCACTAAACCTCTAGAGGTCTTGAGTCTTAGGGGTATCCTGCAAATTCTGTGGCTACCTTGTAGATTCTTAAGAAGGGAGGCCAAGTAGACAACTGCATTTCCCATCTCTACCTTCTTGAAGACAACTTTAGTCCTCTTGCTACCCAACACCTCTCCCAAGGCCTATTTGTGAGCATCAGAAAGAAGTGTCTCAGCACTTCTTCACAACCTAAACCAGTGTGAGGTCTCTTGGTATATCAACCCTAAGCCCTAGACCTGGAACCTAAAACTCTTAGAGCTCAGTCAGATCATTATTGGAGCAGGCATGATGCAGATGGTCTATAGGTGGAAGAATGAGTGGATTTTGGCACTAGGAGTCCCTGTAGACCATCCCATTACCTCAAGTTCCTCCATGTTACCCTTCTGTACAGAGTATAGACAGAAGGCCTTTATCCAGGTCACTTTACTAGCTGGCTTTGGTAAGTGTCATATGATAAGTAAGAAGGTATTGATATCAACAAGTGTCTCCTGGAATTTTTTTTCTCCACCCCTTGATTGTTACTGCTTATTCTCAGACTTTGCAGATGTCAAGCCCCCATTCCTAACAAAAATCAAGGGACGGGGCTTGGTCAGTTTGGGAACCCACTCACCAAGTGCCCAATATATAAACACATGTTCCTCCCTGAGGGACTTCATTAGGTAGAGAGGTTGAATCAGTGGGCTCTCCTACCATAGTTCACACTTAGCTTCTGTTTTATCCCACTTACAAATGTTTGAGAGCCATGCTGTTAGTCTCTTAGCCACTGTCCAGTTCATGTCAGTACCATCCATCTCTAGGCTCATTAGAGACATAGGAACTAACTTGAGAAAATACCCAGTCATTAAAAAAATACTTTTCCTGATCAACTGAATTACCTTCATAATTCTCCTGGATAAGAAGGAAGAAAGGGAAGAGAGGCATGAGCTGCCTATGTGCCTTGGCCATCGAGTGATAGTTGAATGGCGAAAGTGAAAAAAACTGGTGGAAAGTCTCCATATGTACAGCCTTCACGCTCCCCTCCTGATCGCAGGTGTATCTTCCCTGGCATCTTCACCGCCTTTGTCCTTGTGGGCAGTGAGGTTCCTCTGATGATGAACTGGTAATGTAGGAATGATGGATCCCGGTGTGTGGCTCCAAATGAGCCCTCCCACCATGCCCACAGCATCTCCCACTTCTGAGTGAAGGTGGCTTCGTTGTCATTGTGAAGTTAAGTTAGCAATCAAAGTTACTGGAGCAGTGTGTCAGAGGGAGGGCGATTCAGATTAAGGGTGACTGGAGTATCCAGGGAGATGGGTGTGTGGAAGGAGGTTAGGGAGGCTGGTAGCCTCCTTGTCAGCCAGTTGAAGGGGATCTGGGTGGGAAACTTGAAACAAGATGTGAATTGGCCCCTTCTGCCAAACCCATGGTACCATGAGGAGGAGGGCAGGAGACTAAATCCTGGGGCTTCTGAGATTTAGTACCAGCAAGTTTAGTCTTCCTGTTAATCCCACCTCTTAGCACCAGTCACAGGAACTCTCAGTTAGTAAGGGACAGCTTAGTCTGGTCTGGTTAACTAGATCACCTGGGTTAATATCCTGACTTCATCCTTCATTGGCTGTGTGGCACTGGGACACTTTACCTCTCTCATCTTGTTCTCTTGCCTCTGAAATGGGCGCATTGAATTGTTGTGAGCTATCATTAGACAATGTTAGTAAGATGACTCCCCCCTGCCACACATAGATGATGTTCAGTGTATATTTTTCTCCATTAATTACCCTGTCCCTGAGAACCCATATCCCAGGTGGCTTTGTGTTTTTTAGACTCTTCTTTTGCTGGTAGATCCTTGGTTTACATAAGGATTACCCTTCCTGCAGTAGCCAAGGCAGTTTGGCTAGTGCATCCTTAAACTTATAAATGGTTATTACAACCTCTTTAGTCACTTAACCCCTATACAAAGGTTCCACCAATGCCATGCTCTTGCTCCTTGGACTTCACAGGGCAAATGTTTAAGCAGGGATGAAAACCTGATAGATAAAAATTCAGCACCCCCCCTTAGCCTCCCACTCATCCTTCAGATCACTGACACAGGCCACTTTGGAACTGTTAAGGGATATGAAATCGGGGGAACTGACGCCCACGTGTTCATTTTCCTGGGTAGATTGCTCCCCTTTATGAGCACCATTTATTCATCTGTAAAATGAGCAGAGGTTAACAGGTACCTGTGGCTTGCTCATGCCTGTAATCCTAGCTATTCAGGAAGCGAAGATCTAGGATCATGATTTAGAAGCCAGCCTGGGCACGAAAGTCCATGAGACTCTTAGCTCTAGTTAAGCACAAAAGCTGGAAGTGGAGCTGTAGCTCAAGTGGTAGAGCCCTAGAATTGAGCACAAAGGCTCAGGGACAACACCCAGGCCTGGGAGGAAGGGAGGGAAGAGGAAAAACATGGCAAGAGAAGGAGTAACATTGTCCAAAAAAAAAAATGTACTCTTTACCTGATTCATGTATCTGTAGCCCCTCTGTATAGCACCTTTATAATAACAATAAAAAATTTTAATGCACAGAAGTTGACTTCCATGAGTTCTAAAGCCTCTTTCTATCTGAACATCTCTGGAGTCTCACTACCACCCCTTAACTTGAGTAATTCAAACAAATCAACATTCCCAGGAGAGGACACTACCAAAGTATCTCTGGGCTGAAGAAGGGTCTTCAGGGAGGTGCTCCTCAGACCTGGCCCTGCAAGAATACAGCTGGTTAGGAACTCAGACCTGACAGACCCCAGTCTCTGGTTCCATCAGATTCAACAGTGGCCCTAAGAGGGAGGTAGCCATGGTCTGCACAGGGTCTCTGAGTGCTCTGACACAATCACATTCAAGGGTTTATCAATAAGATATGATTCAGGGAGGAGTTTCCACATTGGGTGACCAGCCAGAGGATATGCTGGTCTTAAGACCAACACTTCACATACACCATGCTTTCTGAGAGCTTCTTCCTTCCCCCAAGCCCACTAACAGCATCTGCAGCCCAGAATGCCACCCTACCCAACCGTCCATCAGGGGTCAACTTCCTTTTTGGACCTGGCTTTCCTCCAGCAAGACTGCAGTATTAGTCATAGTCCAAGGCTTAGCCCAGCCCAGCTCAGCCCAGCCATAGTAGACCATAGGCCCCCAACAGAATCTTGACACTGCCTGAAGGCAATAAAAACCCAAATCCATGCTTCATCTCAAAAGTCAGCCTTTTATTGCCAGGGCCAGGGCCCAGGGAGGGGAGGTTGTTGAGCTAAAGCATCGTTGCTCTCTTTCCAGGAAATGTTGTGAGCTGCAGCGAAAGCTTGAGATGTTGCATTTTTTTCAACTCAAGCATGTGTTTTTCAAAAATATCATCTCCCCCCCCAACTAATTTTAGAATCAGACCAAAGCCAAGCTACTGTCCTCTGTTTCTGTTGGGAAAATACTATATTTATTCGAGATGCAGCAGCATGTCTCTGCAATCCTCCAATTGCTTCAGGAAAACAAATCTGCTTTAGACTATACAGAAACCATGATACAAAATTTATTTCATGCTCGAATCGCTTTGCATAACATTGGGCATGCAGGGTTGTTGTTTTTTTTTAATACTCTGAAGAACTAAATCGCATACAATGCCAAGTTGTACCTTAATGAAGATGGAGGACGTTGCCCCTCCAATGGTCCTGAACTTTTGGTGCTCTACATCCTGGTTTTAAATAACACTTGGAGAATCCATACGGTGTTGATTATTTACTATGAACAGTTGGTTATGAAAGTTGGTCACACTGGATCTACAAAACTGCTAAGATGAGAGAATCAACCTAAACTAACCGCTGTCAGGGATCTTGGGGAAATGTCCGCTGGGTCACAAGCATGCCAAACAGAGGGAAGAAGACAGCAGTGCGAGTTTCCACGATTCTATTTGGAGCAAAGTTCTTGGTTTCCACATGAGAGATGAACTATGGAGGTGAGGTCAATATGACCGATGACTGACCAGCTGCCCTTTTTAGAACTGTTACTCTTGATCTTGTATACAAAAAAAAGAGAGGATGCAATCCATTCCCCATCCCTGTTTTTCCTCCCCGGCCCTCACTCCCAGAAACGTACAGGTTTCTAACGCACGCCATTACAGTTTGGCTCCAACAATGTGTGTAAAAGTAAAGAGCTCTGAAAGAAAATATAGGACTTTTTCTTTTCTTTTCTTGTTTCTTCTTTTTGTTAGTGTTGTTGTTTAGAGTAATCATACAGTTGCAGGGTGTTGGTGGGTTTGGTTTCTCTGGGTTTTCTGTTTAACTTCATGCAAGTCATGCTAAGGAACCCCTCCACCCCATTCCCCCAAATAAAATAAAACTTTAAAAAAAAATGGAAAGAAGGAAAAGAAATCCTCTACGGTCAGTTACCATTTGGCCGTAGAAAAAGCTACGTCCGTCCTAGTACAATGCCTGGGCCACTCGGACTCGTCCGGCAAACCTGCGTGGCGTGAATTTACTCTGTCCGAGGGTGAGGAGGGGCTGCAGGTCCACCCAGATGCTTAATAGCCACCAGTGTCCTCGGCCAAGCCGCCTGGTCAAGTCACTCTCACAGCCTCTGTCGGCATATACTTAGCAATGACAGGGCTTTCTTTGCAAAGATCTGTATGTAAAGAATACAATTAACACTTGAGCTTCTCTTCTTGGCCTTCCCATCCCGATTGGTACTTAGTTTTTAAGGAAGGAGGAGGAAAGACAGAACAGCCGCATGCAGAGGCAGGCAGGTTCTTCTCCAGCTGGCTTGTTTCCCATGCAGTGAGCCAGCCTAGCAGCCTCGTTCTCTCCCTCCTGGGGGAACCAGTGGAGTCCCTACTGCTACTCTGCACATGAGCTCAAACACTTGAAGGCCTTCTGGCTTGAAATCAACCTGAGAAAAGCAAGTTCTTGTGGCTATCGAGACCCCATAAGAGCGGAGCTGGGTGGATGTGGGTGGAGCCTTCACCCTTGGCACCTCCCAAAGGCTCAGGCACCTAAACCCATGTGGGTTCAGAAATGAGTATCACCTGTGGATGGTGGTGGCTGCACAGGGCTCACTAGCCACTGCAGGGAGGCAGGGCTGCATGTGTCTCACATCCCCTGGACCTCCGGAAGCACAGCAAGTCACTCTTCCTTTCTGCTCTTTTAGGCTGCACCAACTGATCCAACATCCAAGACAAAGGAGACAGGCAGCCCTGTCTCCTGAGTCGGGCACAGACTGGGAACAGTCTTCCCCCTTACTCTCCCACCCCCACGGCCTCTGCTCTTATACATTCTAGAAATCCCACCTAGGAAAAAGCCAGTTGCAAAGGAGCGCAACAGGCCCATCCATGGCAAGGATGGGGCCTTTTCCTGAGGCTGGCAGCCTTCTGCCATGCAGCACCATGCAGGGAGTGGCACACCACACTGAGGTCCAGGAGGCCTTCCAGCAAGATAAAGAAGCAGGAACCAGCCGAAGGCATGTGGACATAACTAAGTACTGATGACCTAAGGACTTTCCTTCATCTCAGAGTGGGCTGCCTTTCTGCTTCTAGGCCTACCCTTGATTTTGAAGTCTATTTTCTCCTTGTATCTGGATTAACCACTTCAAATCCTGGCACAGTTGACAATGGCCACAGACAGTGTCAACTGTTGCTTTAAAAAATCCCAAAAACCAAAACCAAAAAAAAAAAACAACACCCCTCCAACTACTGGTCTGATACAGCCAGGGCTCACCCCCTCTCTGTCAACATGCATCTGTGTGAGCCTGTGCGGCACTCCAAGACATGCACAAGCTGGCCAGCCAGTCTAAGGCACTTAGAGAGGCTCCTTCAGCTTTCCAGGCCAAACCAGTGCCTAGAGCCTTGGCTAAGTGTTCTAGGCCCCTCCCCAGCCCATGCTCAAGCTCCAATAAAAGCTATTCTTCAACAGGGTCAGCCTGAAGTTCTGATTGCAGCAAGGAGACCACTAGTCTCAACTTTTGCCAACCACAAGGGGGCGCTGACCATGTCAGAGCAGCGGCCATTGGGCACTGATGGAAGGGGCTGCACTAAGTCCAACTTCCCCATCTTCTCTTGGGAGATTCTCTGCCACTAGCATAACCTGACTGGCACACATCTTACCTCTGCAAGGACGGTGACCCTATCCCCAAGCCCTGAAATGACTGCTCTCTCCATTCCTCCCACTGGCCTTTGATTCCCTTTAAAAGATGTCTCTTCCGTAGCATGGATCCATACCTAAGAGTCTTGGCCAACCCCGACTCGCCTTATTGCCCATCTCCTCCCCATGGGAGGAGAGATAATTGCTATTTGGATCTCCCCTGCCCCTGCCAAAGTAGTCTAGGGGAGTCGAGGCTCCTCCTGCCTTCCTGGGTACTCCTGCCATGGTCATAGCCTATAGTCAGCTTGTGAAAGCCCTTTTCTACGACTTAGCTCAATTATCAGCCCACAGCTCTCATGGCCTCTGCTTCTCTCTGCCAGCCTGACATTCCACTTTGAGGGGAAAGGGACTCAGACCTCCAGGGACCATCCCTGGGGGCCTCCCTCTATCCTTCTGTCCTCACCACCACCCTTCATGTGCCTGCCTGCCCCTCAGCGCCCCTCACCCACCGCCCTGCCCACCCATCTGCAGGAGCGCGAGGCAGACCCAGCCGATGCACAGAGCTCCAGCTTCCTCTACATACCCTTTCTCATTCCTCCACCAGGTGGGCACGCGTACTCCCCGGTTGATAAGAGGAAGCAGGGTCCGTATCTCTCGCGGGTGCCCGAGCGGGTAAAGGGCAGGCCCTCATCGGGAGTGAGGGCCTGGTCTATGTGGGGGCAGTCTTCGTTCGCCAGCGCGGCCTTCGCCACCTCCCCATTCAGTTTGGAATCTTCAAACATATAAGCAGAAGCTATTGAGACACTGAAAACTGTTTAGTGAGGGAGGAACAGGCCAGAGGTAGGGCATTTGGCACCGGGCAGCCGGTGTCGGAGGGTAGCAAGGGGGTTAGGCCATTGAAGAGGGTGCGAGGCTGGGGAGAGGGGAGGAGCAGGCTCAGTCTATTCAGGCAGCCTGCAGGCTGCCTACAGGACAGGGATGGAAGGACTCCTGGGTTTGCTCAAAGTTTGCAAAAAGATGAATTGGTGATGGGCCCAGTATGTGGTGCTGGGAGCCAGGTCCAGGGCCCAGAGCAGGGCTGATGAGACAGAATGATGTGGATGCAGTCATGGGGAGAGGGCCAGACACAGAGCTCAGGGAGAAGACAGACAGACACGCAGAAAGGTTCCAGTCCAGAGAGGTGGCCTTTCACACCCCTCTGCTACTGACTGGAGCCTGGATGCCTTCCAGTGACATCTAAGCAGTCACCCAGACTCCCCGAGACCCACCCAGTCCCCATCTGCTCTACTCTAGTCCATCTTGTTTGAACTCCAGCTAATCACTTGGTTCATGCTGCCCCTCCCCCACATCTGATCACTCGGCCTGCTCCCACCACGCCATACGGACTCAATCTGGTCATTCTGCTGCCTCAGCCCTGGTTGTACTTTCTATTGTGTCCCTACAGAGACCCAATCTGGCCCCTCTATAACTGTCTGTCCCCCATGTAGAGTAGGCCCAATTATTCCTTCTATTATGTCCTCACAGGGACCCAATCTCATCCCACTATAACTCTGTCCCTCACAGATTAGGCCTATCACACCTTCCATTCTGTCCCCACAAGAACCCAGGCGAGTCACTCTGATTCCCTATCTCTTGGTCACGCATTTTACTCTGTCCTCCTAGGGATCCAACCTGATTGGTCTGTCTCATTCTCCATACAGATTAAGCCTGACTAAACAATCTGCCCCCTGCAGACCCAATTTGACCACTCCATTTGCTCCATCCCTAACTAGTCCACTCTGCTCCCCACATATATCAAGCAGTGTCCCCATGCTGCCCCAGTGGGTCCAGTCAGCTTGCATAGGCACAGCAAGGATGTATGCATGAAGCTGTAATGGCAGGACAGGGAAGTAGGAAGGGATCCCTTTCCTGTCCCCTCTGCCAGTGTCCTGGCAAAGCAGAGCAAATGGATGTGTAGAAGACAATAGCAGCTTATGGCCTTGGGTAAGGAAAATTTAAACCTTGGCCTCTGTAGTACCCTGTGAAAGAATCTGAAAAGAAGTCTGGAGCAATCTTTGTGGGGAATGAAGTGTGGCCAGAGCAAGGAACCCTGTCTTTCCCAAATCCGGAAGATGAGCCATGGAGGCCTTGGGCTGGCAGAGATGGCTCTGACTGACCTTTGCCACCCCCCCCACCTCTGTCACCCCCACACTCTCTGCCTTCAAAGCCAAATCTCCCTGGCCAAGATGGAGCCCACTCAAACACTGCTCCTGGGGTAGACACCTCAGGGGCAAGCCTTTTTCAGGAAGGAAACCCACATAGGCAACCACATTAGGGAAGGCTTTCTAGAAGATTGAAAGGGGAAATCTGGAGCCAATCTCCACTGGATCTGAAACTTTCCCATGATCCTGTTCACATCATGTAACTACACGCAGGAGTGATCCTTTCCCAAGTGCACACACTTAGCGCACATGTGGGTGGGATCTCCACCCGTGTACACATCATGTCACTACAAAGAGGCAGTCAGTCAAAAGAGAAATGGACCAATCAGGTTTATTCATAAAGCAAATCAAAAAAAATCCCATCATAATTTTGGAACTTAAAAAAAAAGTCTCTCATACAAGATGGCAAAGCATTTCACGTACAGTGTGTTTCTTGACAGATCCCAGGGGCTTCACTCTCCAATTGACTCTGAACCAGAAAGGCCAGTTACCAAGGAAACAAAGGAAACTCTGACACCACGTGACTAGGGCTGGGGGCCGCCTAGCACAAGGGGCACGTCTGCGGGCACACACGTGCTCACAGAACATATGGGTCCTGTCTCACACTCTGGTTGGCCCCCCAAGGGTCTCTGGAAGGAAGGAACTGGGAGCGGGGAGGGAAATTGTTTGCAGGGGAAGAGGATGAGGGAGTGGAAAGTGAATGCCAGAGTCCCCTGCATAACTTTTCCTCCAGGAGGGAAACAGTGGCCATTCCGGGCAACATGTCCTCTGGTTGGAGAGTGAGGACTTTCTCTTTCTTGGCTATCATACTCTGTCATAGGAGATGTGCACAACCTGCGATCTTGTCCAGGGTAGGGATCTACAGTAGCTGCTCCCTCTGCCTCTGCTTCTGGAGGGATGGTGCAGCCTGAGAACCCCTCTTCTAGCTCTAAGTATAAAGCTTCCACTGGCTCTGTCCACAAGCAGAGCCGCTTTTCCCTGGGGTTTCACATCCCACAACTGTGAAGGGCTCTGAGTGGAGAGGCAAGCTTTCTCTGAAGGGCCCAGGGGCAGGGAGTAGCCATCAGGGTATCAGGAGCCTGCTTCTCTTAGCCTTGACCTTTGAGGTGAGGCTGTTGGTTTCTCTGCCGTGGAGGACGCAAAAAACTGGACCATTCCTTGTCCTGAACTCCCACAGGGTGGCCAGAAGAAAGAAAGGAAAGAAAGAAAACAACAAGAAAGGGACAACTGCCTAAACCCAAGCTCACCCAAGGCACCCCATCTACCTGCTGCTTTCAGAGGGCTGGCATCCTGCCTCCTGCCTAGGCCTCCAACTAGACCCACAGGCCTGCAGTGATGAAATGGCAGCATGGGCAGCGTCTCAGAGATGGTTTCCAGGCTTTGAAATGAGCTGAGATGAGCATCCGTGAGAGGGTCATTTTTTTTTAAACTTTGGAGCAAGGAGAACCTGCTTGGCCAAGCCCTCAGCCAGCAGGCTGGCTTTTCTGCCTGTTTCCAGGCACCGCTGCTGCCGTACTTACTGTTCACACCAGCAATGGGCACCAGGGGGCGCACACAAGACTGGGGTGGGATGGGAGTGGCTGGGCATTTCCTTGGGTTTTCCCCTGAGGAGTCTGCCCAGCCGGGGACTCAGGGAGGGGGGGGTGAGAGGACACATCCCAGGATAGATGGGGATAGTCTGTGAGAGACACAATCACGAAAACCAATACGGTCATGCAACAAAACGAGGAGAGAGAAATATGATTAGTGGAGAGAGAGAAAAAGAATGTGAACAACACAAGGAACACCCACCCATGCCCAGCCCGGAGTCAGGCCATTTCTCCACCACTTCCCCCGTAGCCGGCAGAGGGCAACAAGGACCCCACTCAGGGTCCAAGCCACCAACCCTGCAGCGGTACCCATGCAAGTCCCTTCAGCCCCACATCCTGCCCTGTCAGCTCTGCCCCCAATCCCATCATCCTCCCTGCCCCTGGACTAGCACCATTCCCTGGGCAGCACCTTGTAGCCCAGCAGGGGATAGGTGGAGGGGTAGGGATAGAGGAGTGGCTCCCAGGGGCTCAGACTGGAATACCTCTGGACCTTGCTGCTTCCCCGAATACCCATGGGCAGGAACCCAGTCACCATCCCTCTTTCCATGTCCCCCACTTCTCAACTACAATGGGATCCTATATCCCTGGAGGCTGTACCACAAAGGACTGACCCACACCACAGGAGCAGAGATGGACAAGACACATGCGAATGGACATGGCAGGACAGAGGGAGCACTCTGAGTGCCCAGAATAGATGGAGGGGACCCTGACTATAGATGTGAGAGGACCCTCCAGAAGGGGGGTATCTTGTCCTCAGCCATTGCACTAGTCAGTTCCAGGATATGTCTTCTGGCCACTGTGAGGCCCTACATCCAAGTGAGACCTTCAACAGCCTCTCACAACAAGACCTTCCAGCACTGAAGCCATGCAGCCATAGCCCAGGGGACAAGTCCCACGGGGAGATCACACCATCCATGGGACAGACACACAGACTATGTTTTGAAGAATGACCAAGAGGTGGAGGTGAGGGAAAGGAGCTGCTGGCTCAGCTGGGAGGCCTTGTTTCAGCTCAGGGCCTGTCCTACGTGTGGCTGGAGGTGGGATACCTACAAGGCCCAGCCCAGCCCCTAACCTAGGTTGGTTTTTTTTTTTTTAGAAGTAAAACTGGAGAAATCCCATACTTGGGGAGCTGCATTGGCTTCTCTGGGGGAAAGGCCTTGGAGACTGCATCTTACCTCCCACAATCCCTGTAGCATCTGCTCTCTACTCATCACCATATTTGCCTTCCTGGCCTCTAGCTTCTCTCTCACAAACTCATCTCTACTCCACACCCATCCATATACACAGCTACAGGCAGAAGAGGAGGCAAATGGGAATGGAGTCTGGAATTCAGGATGGCAGGGAACAACTCCTAAGAATCTCACTCCCTTTACGTGGTGGATAATTCTGGTGTTGGGCGCCAACTTTTGGAAGGAGGGATGGTCTGGTAAGAGAAGAGGCTCAGGGTAAGACTGGGGTTTAACAGCCAAGGAGGGTGGTCCGAACATCTGTACAGCACCAACATCAACAAGGAACGGGGAACAGAACAAAGAGGACAAGAGGGAGGCGGAGGGTAGGAAGGTCCAGGCTCTAGAGGGCAAGCTTGGATGGGCACCAAGTATCTACTTAGGCATAAGACCTTCCAAAGTCAGAGCTCCCTAGATATCTGAAACCTAGAGCCGGGGCAAGTAGCTGCCAGGGGCAAGTATATCAAGGCTGGGGGCAGGCCAAGGAGCCCAGAGGATCCCACAGGAAAACATGGGCTTTGCAAGTCTTCTGAAGCATAGAAGGAAGGCTGTGTTCATGTGCATGTGTGAAAACCCATCCACAGGCCTGTGCTAGGGGTGGAGGGGGTGAGAGAGGGAGATGGAGAATATTGTCACTATCTGGGCACACAAAGGAATCTATTCTGTCTAGACTAAGCTGAGGATCGCTGATGGGTTAAGTCTGGGGCTCCATGCTTGGGGCACCAATCCTAAAAGACACAGTGTTGGAGAAGTTACATTGGAAAGGCCGAGTAAGTAGTACAGGGCCATGCCCCTCATGTTGAGCACTTCCTGCTAGGGTCCACAGTGTAGTTGCGGGATGGTGGGGGGAGGCAGGGCGGTGATAGTCCAGGCCAGAGCCTAAGAATTGTCCATGCCTTGACTGGGGATTCCTGAAGCTAGCTAACCCAAAGTGGAAAGGTGGGGTTTAGGCTTCCCATGGATGAAGTCGTGGCTTGGGCCAGCAACACTCCCTCATCACAGGTCCCCATATTGCAGTCTCTGAAACATCAGATCCAGCCCAAAACACTGGACATACTTGTCTCAGGTGCTTACAGAATCCCAGGAAGGGAGGACATGGGGCAGGGCAAGGAAGCTGGGAGACCCTATGGACAGAGAAGTAAGCCTTGGGATCCTGCTCTGACTGTCTTAGCTGTGAGATGAAGCCTGAACAGGATCAGAATGGGGAGGTGGGGAAGAGCACTTCAGCAGGGAAGGCAATCAGTCACCACTGGGGGAGGCCACCCAAACCAAAGGGAAACTGCCTTGTTCGGGACTGAGCCAGACTGCAGCCCACATAAGACCAGAGCACGTAGATGTCCTACCTAGACTAAATGGGCCTAATCTGTCATGTTCACCACCTGATCTTCCTGGTACTTCTTAGCTCAGTGTGGTCACTTTTCTCTGGGTCATCAATTCCTTTGAGATCCCTGTGTCCATAGAATAAGTCGATGGTATTCCATGGGTAGAGGTAGACTATGGGCTTTATTTCTTCAGACCAGAGCCCCATGATCAACTTTATGTGCTATGCGCATGTTCTCATAAAACTGAGATAGTCCCATCACGAACCACTAGCCATGGAATATTAGAATATATCCCATGGTGACTAGTATTGTTTCATGGTCCCCCTCCCCCCTCCCCGGGCCCCAGTGAATTCACGGGGAAAGTGGTGGTACGTTGGTTGGGATGTCTAGTATTGCTGCTGCAGTCCCTACTGTTGGACATGCAGACGACCCTCGTGGGAGGTTGTTGCTAATCTGAAATGCTTTCATCAAAGCTGCCCAGGGTATGGCCCCCTCTAGTCCTTTGCTCACCAGGCACTTCCATCGGGCCACCCGAAACTCCCACTGGACCATCAACCCAAACAGACAACGTGAAAGCCAGAGTCACTCCAACAGGTTCCTAAAGATAAATGCTAAACTCTAGAGTGGTGGTAGAGAATGAGTTGGTTCGGCATGCTATGGGGTAAGTAAGCTTGTCACGGAGGGCTAGGGGTGTCTCCTAGGAAGGACCTGGAGCTAGGCAGCCGGCATCAGAGCAGAAATTCTACTTGGCTATGGACACAGGCTCTGCTGGGGCTGAGAATCTTGCTACTACTTTGCAGGCCTCCTCCTGCCTGGATCCCATGCACCATTTCTGCTGTCTACACAGCCTGCGTGGAGCTGTGTTCAGGATCAAATGAAAAGCTTATGGCACCTCCGAATCACATCCCCCCCCCACCCTGCCCCAACACTAGGTCAGTAGCCTGAGTGGGAGACTCATGCTTGACTCCTGCCCACCTGAGCAGCAACCCCCCACTGGGCTCCTGCTAAGATAGTCTTCAGCAACCTCACCATAGGTGTGGTCTCTTAAGAACTTGATGAGACCAACTGCATCAACCTTCTTACCCAGGGCCGCTAGTGAGGTTCCTCTAGCAGGCTCTTGCCTTCCGAATTTAGCCGCCCAGCATCCCCCTGGGCGCCCAGGCTCCACACCTCGAGATGGAGCACAGGGTCCCGGGTTGCCCAGGGAACTAAAGAAGCAGTCTGACTGAATCTGAAATCATCGCTACAGGGGACGGAGATGAAAGGTCAGATCGACATGCCTCTAAGAGGTTTCCTACCTGCTCTGTTAATTTCTAAAATTTCCTCCTGGGCCAGCGGACATGTGTCACTCTGAGTACTGTGGTGTGGAGAGTTTACGACAGATTTACAATAATTGGGAGATCCCAGCTGCGGTGGCCGAGGAATATGCTTCTTTTTTTTCTTTGGTAGTTTCTGCTTAGCCATTGCTAAGGAATAGTACATCCCGAAATTGTTCACGATGACTGGCACAGGCATGGCGATGGTTAGCACACCTGCCAGGGCGCACAGGGCTCCCACCAGCATGCCGGACCACGTCTGCGGGTACATGTCTCCATAGCCCAGCGTTGTCATGGTGACCACAGCCCACCAGAAGCCGATGGGGATGTTCTTAAAGTGCGTGTGCTCACTGGCGCTGGGGTCATTGGGCTGGGCCCCTATCCTCTCTGCATAGTAGATCATAGTGGCGAAGATGAGCACACCCAGGGCCAGGAAGATGATAAGCAGCAGGAATTCGTTGGTGCTGGCACGAAGCGTGTGGCCCAGGACCCGCAGGCCCACAAAGTGGCGGGTCAGCTTGAAGATACGCAGGATACGAACAAAGCGGACGACACGCAGGAAGCCCAGGACATCCTTGGCAGCCTTGGAGGACAGGCCGCTTAGGCCCACTTCCAGGTAGAAGGGGAGGATGGCCACAAAGTCAATGATATTGAGCGAGTTCTTGATGAATTCCACCTTGTTGGGGCAGAAGACGACACGCATGAGGAACTCAAAGGTGAACCAGACCACACAGACGCCCTCAATATAGGTGAGGAAGGCTTCTGTCTCTGCTTCCCGGTAGTAGCGTACTTGGGTGCCATTCTGAACATTCTCAATCTCTGTCTTGTTCACGATGGGGTTAAAGCGCTCGTGGGTCTCCAGGCAGAAGGTGGTGATGGAGACCAAGATGAAGAAGAGGGAGGCAAAGGCCACATACTGTGGGTGAGAAATACACAGTGTCAGAGAGAGGCCTTCCACTTGGAGTGGAGAAACCTGGGGGCCTTGTTGTTGGGTACAGGCAGGAGGCCAGACCAGGGGAAGCAGCAGGCTTAGGAACATTTCCAATACAACCCAAGCGGACATGCCACACTTCCCCCCTCAGGGCTGGAGCATGTGCACTGCTGCCAGGCCTGGCTAGCAAAACAGTTCTCTTTGATCTTCCATGCTTCCTTTTCCCCATGGCCAGACAACACTGAAGCCCTGTGGGCCAGGAGAGCCACCAGAGGAAAGAAGCTTAGATCCATGCGAAGACAGATATCCACTAAAACCCACACTGAAGTGACACCTGAGTGGGAAGTAAGTTTCTATGGCGTTATACCACTGCAATTTAGAGGTGATTTGTGAAAGTGTTTAGCTGTCCTGGCTAATAGTGACCAACTTTCTGGGGCTGAAGTATTCAAAGAAATAAGATGGGGCAGTTATAATGAAATCAAGAGAGGTCTTATCTCCTCCCATCTTTCTCCCTTCCAACTCCAATCTAGGCACTCAGGGAGTGCCCACCTGCTTTGTACCAGGAGGCAACATGCAGTCCCCAGCAATTACCTTAATTTGCATTGATGCTCTTCTCCTGCCTTGCAGGGAGTGTTCTGAGAGTCCTAGAAAAGCCTTGTCTGGGTTGACCATAACTATGGAGTCTAGGACACAATAATCTGGCCAGGGCCTGGGAACCAGTAACTATGTGAATCTCTCAAACCACATTCTGGGTTGAGGAAGCGGGGGCGGGGGGGGGGGGATAGGGAAGGATATTTAATATTTTAGAGCTGACACAGTGTGAGAAGTCTTTAGAGATGATCTGGCCCAAGATACCTCATGCTACAGATAGGAAGTTTGTGGCCCCAAAAGATGAAATGAACTATCCAGGCAGAATTGCAGAATATTGGCATTCTCTTGGTATTAGAATATTGTGTGAGTTTCTCCTAGGCTTTAATAAGTGTGACCCTTATGCATTCTTACATCTACCATTCTTCTTCCTTTCTTTCTCTTTCACTCTCTTTTACTTACATCTATCCATCCATCCATCCATCCATATGTCTATCCACTGGTTCACTCATCCATCCTTTCTTTCTGCTACCCCTCACCAGGCACCAGGTTATATCCATCACAGAGTTGACTAAGGCTTCTATCCAGCTCTCAAGTTGCTCCCTGCCTACCTAACAGGTAAGGACATACATAAAGACAAGTGCAGTTCAGTGGACTGAGATGAGCTTCCTCTGCTCTATGAAGTGGGTGGAGCTGGGGAATGGTGAGAATGATTTGTGCACCCTTGAGAGAGGCAAGGTAGAGACTTCAAAGCAGTTCTTCCAACTCTACAAAGCTCTTCTTTCATAGTGCAGATAGTTCAGACCTAGGGTACACAGAGGAAGACCCAGAAATCAAAATGAAGGAATGAAAACAATTGGAAGAGGCTAGGCTCAAGTTTACAGAGCTCCAGAATTCTTCCTGTCCTGTTAGTCAAGTTCTTCCAGCTAAAAAGTACGTGTATCTCCACCTGCTGAGGATCCAGCCCCATCTTGGAGCTTGCCATAGACTCCTAAGGATAGGTCATGTTTCCACCTGTGTCCCCTACCATGGCCTTCGTGTGAGAGGTAGGAGCTCAAACCCTGTGAGTGTCGGAGGGAAGCCTAGAGGCTAGGCCTACAGCACCCTAAGCTCCTGAATTCTGATTGGTGGTGGAGGCAAAAGGTTCCTCTCCTCCTTGCTTCCCAATTAGCCAGGACATCCCCTCCTAGACCTTCCCATACTCACCCTCCTCTCTCAACAGGGCACTACCATCAAAGCAGGTTTTCAGCTTCGGTCTTAGCCACACAGCTACCAACAGGAGTCACCAATGGCAATCCCGGTAACACCCGAATCAGCTGCCATGCTGCACAGAGAAAAATCTCAACTCCTCAGCTTGGCACATGAGGCTTTCCCTGCCTTACCTAACTTCGCTGGGTCCTCTTCCTACATGCACCCAACATTTGTGTAACTACATCATTTCTGACCATATTATCTCCCCCTTCTTCTTGGCTTTATATCTGCTGTTTCTTCTATGGGAGAACATTCCTATTAGTCTTTGGGAAAATCCTATCATCCTTCAGTGCCTCATTAATAGCCCTTCCCCTGGGGTGAAGCTCCCTTTGGCAGCTGTGGTCCTTAAGAGGCAAGAAGCAAAAGGCTTCCCCAAGGAGTCTCTGTCCACCTGGGGAGACAATGAAACTATCTCCATTGCCTGCTCTTGAATGCCCAAGGAGGTTTATGGGAATAAGCTAGGCAGCACTGATGTCCCAGGAGCTTTCTGACTCCCAGGTGCCCCACAGCCCCTGTGGCTTTCACCTCATTTGCCTTCTTATTGTATAGAAACTGTACTGTATTGTACAGAAACAGGCCCTGAGAGAGGTCAGACCTTATAAGATGAGTGTAGAAAAAACTCTTAAGTGATTCAGGATCACTGTACAGTCTGAGCCTCACTGCCCAGGGAATGGAGAGTAGAAGGCATGTGTCAGAAGCCAGGCCGAAAACCAGATCAGAAGACTTCAACCCTAGGAGGAGCCAAGACTGGTGGGAGCCAGATCTCCTGCCCTTCCTAGGCATCTCAGGCACCTGCCTTCCTGGCTGCTGTGCTGGCCATACTCTGTCCCAGGCAGAACACCACCTGACATCCAGGTTCACATGGATCCTTAGGACTGTGGAGAAAGCTGCACCTGGCTCTGTGGAGCACATGGGCAGCAAAGATGGCGCTGGGAGGGGGTTGAGTGGGCAGAGCCTAATTTACTGGAGAGCACATGGCCAGCCAAGATGGCTCTGGGAGGAGGTTGACTGGGCAGACCCCAATTGATCTTCTGATCAGTGCCTAACCAGCCCGTGAAGGCTCAGGTGAATGATAGGGTGTGACCTTGACAGTGATTGGTTCCTCTTCCTCCCTTACCATACCACCCACCCTTGTTGTCCTTAAAAGGGGCTGCTCTCTGTTAATAAACGAGTTTTTCTACCTGCTGGATTTGGCTCCCCGCTGTGTCTGATTGTCTCCTGGGCTGAGGGAGGCTAGGGAACGGGCGAGCGCCGCACTTACCTTTCCTCGGACCCTGTCCGTCTTTCGTGGGACGCACGAAGACCCAACATGGCTCTTTCAGACCTTTCCGTTCTCCTAACTAGTAAGATGGTAGCAAGGGCATTGGCAGAAAGGAAGGAAAGGCTACAAAAGCTTGAGGGCCTACCATGTGCTTTTAATCCTGGCACCAAGCTTGTGGGACAGGTGATCGTATGTCTAATGTGTCACAAAGGAAAGCCAGGAATGGAGCAGTTCCAGAACAAAGCTAAGGATTTAAGCTAGTGATGAATCTAAGACATGAACCCCAGTTACTGAGCTCTTGCACCACCAAGCTGCCAAAGCCTGTGAGACAAAACCACAGATCTGTCTGGACGGTTTCAGCTTGAAGCTTGGTACCCACAGCCTAGAGCCCCTATGCTAAGCAGGAGGAGAGGTATCTGGAGCCACAGGGGCAAATCCAGCACTCTTGCATCATTCTTAGGCCTTGGTGCCCAGGCTTGCTAGTGCCGGGGTAGAAACAGTTCCCTGGAAAGAATTTATGAGGAAGGCAGCCTTGGGTGGTCCAGTATGCTAGGCCACCTAATTCCCTGCTGACCCACAAAGGAAAAAACTTCTCCTTATTCAGCTCAGAGAGAAAGGATGGACATGGGAATGGGAGTTCCTAGATTGACTCCTAGAAGAGAGGCAAGCCCTGGGGTGGTCTCTGCCACATTGCTGGGCTCATCACCGACAAAGCAAAGGCATGGGGCTGCACCCTACACCAGCTGCCTGCTTCCCAGTTACCAGTCACCCCAATGACATAACAGAGTACACATCTCACCTATGACCTAAGCACTCAGGGTCACACATTACAACACAGTACCTGCACACACAGAAATCACAAAGAGCCCCTATAGTGTTTACTGGGACACAACACCACACACTGAGCACACACACTCAGATGCTGAGTAGAATGGCACACATACATGCACACATATACACACTCAGAGCACATCAATGGTACAGTGGTAGTAAACAGAGCAAGCCTACTGTGAACACACATACTTCCCAAACACTGCTACCCAGCAGACCCTTCCTTTATTTTTATGGCTCCTCACCTATCTCCACCTGACACCACTCAGGTGATGGGAAATCCTGACTTCCTGCCCCTGGACCCTGCTCATCATCTATTGTCTTCTGGATATCTTGCTACCTGTTTGTCCTGGTAACTAAGCCCCACCACACCCAGGCCAGAGTAGCTGTACAGCCAGTTCCTTCTGGGCTGCTAGTCTGAAAAGGCAGAAAGGGAGCTCTGCTTGGTAGCCCTGGATTAGCTGTCACCCAGCTGGCCAGCCCAAGGGCCTTCCTGCAAAATTTCAAGACAACATGGGCAAGATTACCTGATGATGCAGCATAAACCTTAGTGGGTAGTTTTTGACTCCTTTTATTTTTTTCTAGAACCAAATCACAAACCGTGAGAGACCCGCCAATTATGTTCCAGAAAGTGGTCTCCATGATAACAGAGCAAGGCATCCCATTTCTATGGTAACCAGGGTGGTGAGGTTGTTGGCTGTAAAGTCAGACAAACCTACTAACGATCTGTTGACTTAAGAACATGTTTTATAAATCACCAAGTTATTTTTATTGTAGCTCCACCCTTGAAACCATAAATCAGATAGGCAATTTACTATCTTATTAAAATGACCAATATGAGCAATGACTTTCCTTTATGAATTATTTATGCCACAGTCATCTCGAGAAATTGTGCTTGCCTTTCAGCCCTGCTCAGGGGTTCTCAGTGGGGCTCCGTGTTCCTGTAGCTTGGAATTTCAGGATGAAGGTGCTAGTTGAAACATGGACCAAAGTTCTGGTCTGATAGCTCACTCACTGTGTGACCTTCACAAGTCACTTCCCCTCTCTGGGCTTC